CCCATGAAAGACAATGCAGCTATAAAGCGATATCCCAATGCTCTCTTGAGCCCGAAGTTCGGTTCCGGAGTTTCCGGGTGTATTATCATCCTAGGAGGATTCGATTCCGGATTTTATCGGCTGAAGAAGTTTTTAATAAATATTTGGTTACAATAGCGCAATTATTTGCTAAAAATCACATTAGATCTAACTTTTTACAATCGTTGGCAAACAAAGTTTAATTCTACAACCGTTTTCGAGTCAAGTTTCGGTTCGAGATTATTAAGTTATTTCAGTTTGTTTTACATTTGAATAGCCCGTAAGTTTCGACTGCTCTATAGCGGGATCTCCGCTTTGAGCGTTCGCGCCGTATAATCGAACTATCGATTTATTCTGATGGAATCGCTTTAAATTAACCCCCGTACGCGGTGTGTAGAGGTAAAGTTAACAAACTGAAATAGTTTCCCTCTTGTCGGGAATCCCACTTACCATTTTAATATAGCCAGTAAGCCGTGACTTAAGTATCTCATTCTCTTCGCGATTTCGAATTATTGAAGTTCCCCAACAAATTGAATATATAAACTAGTATCGAACTTTCTTGTGAAGTTATTGGAGAAGAAGTTTCGCGAGTTCGTTAATGATATTGGTGTAGTATGGATTGATAGTCGTTAACAAAACTTTAGTGGTTTAGGTATTTAAGTAGATGATAATGTTGTTTAAAATTATTTTTTTTAATTTTAAAATATGGGTTTCTACCGTATCTAATTATGATTCAATATTGAAAACTTGATGGTTTCAAACCACAGTTTTTCAATTTAATAAAACCTTTATTGAAATGTTTAATCAACCCAACAATACATATCCCATTACTGTGTTAATTAAATTAATAATAATAGTTAAATTTTGTCAATGAAATTTTTGAACGAATTGATTTTGTGCAGTTTAATTAATATTTTATCCAATAATCCTCATAAATTTCGTACAAAGTATGTTAAATTGCTAATCTACATGATTCCTTGTTGTGTAAGACTTTGTGTAATTTTCTTCCTCTTCTTGCAGAACACCCGAACATCAAATTCCTATATAAATGTTAATCAATAGTCCGCTCGGCAAAAGAGCTTTTTAAACTTTCAAACGTTTTGTATAAGAACTATTGTGCAGAGCGCCCTTTTGCAGAAAATCCTTCAAGTGGTGAATATCGATTTATACGGCAAAAGGAGTAAAGTGAAGCCATTAGTCTGTTCAATACAAACTTGCCCCGATCTAAAGCTGCATCCCTAAAATCCATCAAGCTGGAAAAATAATTAACCATCGTGCTTATAAGTATGGAAATTTCGTTATTCCTTTCATGTGTTTAATATAAATTCCCTAAAACGCTTCCAAGTTTTCGGATAGAGTTTCGCTTATTGAAATTGAATTTAGCAAGTTCATTTTACAGGACCGTATTTGGTTAATTTTTATGCATCTAACAATACATTTACTTTGTTTGCTTTATAGAGCACACGCAACTTTTTAACATGGATTTGCAGCGTATTATTCGTGCTGTATTTCGTGTAGTTCAAAACTTCATAAAACTTTAATTTTTTACGCTGCTCTACTTTCAACTGTAGCTACAGAGACATAAATGCGAGTTTTTCATGAAAATTTCGTTTCGAAACTTATAGGTTATGCGGCTCTACCAGCGTCATAACCACTTAGGGTTAATTAAATTTTCCGGTAGAAGCATCATTAATGATAGAACATTTCGACGTGCATGATAATTATTTTAGATTTGATGTCACAGGAATCGGTGGCTTTTGTTCATCCCGTAATTAATTCGACATCGGTATGTTGATTACAAAAATGTTTACATTTTCATTCGCGTAATTAACGAAGAATTTCGATTTATTGCGATGCTAATTGGAAGTCGAAAGCACGACCCTGGATGTTAAACGAACGCAAAAATAACGATTCCTTTTCGTTAGGGCCAAAAAAAACGTTGACCGTCTTAGAACATTCACTGGGCACAAAACAACTTTTGATTTATACGAGGCTTTCCCTCGCTTTTTTTCTATATAAAGGCCCGCAATGAAATGGATAGCGACATCCAAAAAGTATAACTGGTTTTCAGTTGTAAAGGCATCGCTGATTAATAGCCTTTGTAGAAGTAAAATCGCTATGAAAAAAATCTATTTGAAATTATCAAAAAAAAATCACTCCATAAATTACAACCGTAGCAAATACAGTTAAAGTAAATATTAATCAGTTTACTTCCAACATAATTTAATTCTTAGAAACTTAGCATAAACTTGATGAATTTCGTAAACCTAAGAAATATTTCGAGCACTACTTAGTTAAACATTTTCCCGGAGTTTGACGAACAAATATTTGGTATACAAACTTATGCACAAGGGGCGAAAATCGGAAAATCCAGCAGGAATTAAATATTTCAATTGGTCCTCGCATCAAATCCGGGTTATTCACGATACCTTTCGCGCGGCGCGCATTAAAAAAAGGAAAACTTTTCCTCATCCGCCCGAAAATAAACTGAGGGAGGATCGGAGAGTTATCAAGCGTGACCGCCCGCAGCAAAACCGGAGATGATGGACGAGCGAGCAGGAGAGAGCGACATTCCGTGATAGATGAAGCTTTAAATCACGAAAATTTTGACGTAGTGACAAGTTGTTTAAAGCTCGGACATGTATCAGCTAAAAACTGACGGCCGCCCATTGTGATGAAAATGAAACGAACAATGAGCTGCACCCTGTCTTGCTACAACAGTTATTTAATCGTGGTGTTGAGGGATTTGGGTAAAACGTCGTTATTTATTCGATTGTTCTTGCTTTTTTAGAATGATTTAAATGTACAGACCGAGAGAAGTAACTGAAGATGTCAAGGTATATGACATTGTTAGCGCATCTCGCGTTTCTTGCTATTCTTATCTATTCATAGGTTAGGTATACTATACTAGGTGTTCTGGGTCCTGCTACATCAGTTATTTAATGGGAATGTTGAAGAATTTGGGTAATATGTTAGTATTTATTCAAATGTTTTTGCTTTTTTTTATTGAATTAAATGTACAGACCGACGGGAATAGCTGAAGATGTTAAGGTATGTATGTATATAAATTCGTTCGCGCAACTCGTGTTTTTTTGCTATTCTTATCGATCCAAATGCTATACTATAATTTCTTTTTTGAATTAATTTAACGTACAGATCGACGGAAATAGTTGAAGATGTAGGTTGAAGGTACACGACATTGTTAGCGCATTTCGCGTTTCTTTTTATTCTTATCGATCCGTACATTATACACACCGAAACGATTTAGTACGGTGAAACTTAAATTTCTCGGATAAGATAAAAACAACTTGGAATAAAACATCGTTAAAATCGTGTTATCTGCGCATAAAAAAAAGAGGAAGGATATAAAACTATTGTTCGTTCCTCGTGTATCGTTCGTAAGACATTCAACATCACGAAACCGTTTTCCTAGATAAAAAGAGCAATAAAAAATGTAAGTTTGCATTTTATTCGTCGTTTTGCGTAAAGTGTAAGAGAAGTTAAAATTCAAACGGCATCGTAAACTGTCAAGTTTGCGCATTACGCCAGTCGACAAGTTAGATCTCGTTCAGTTTTCACGCAATAAAATAATTAGGGCGAATGCGAGCGGGGCGAAATCAGAAACATCAGTCGAGCCGGTTTCGAGGCGGAACAGGCGCTTTCCAGCTAACCGAAAACCCTCCGTCTAACCGTAAAAGCATTCCCGATATAGGTGGAAAGTTGATCTATAATAATTATCCGTAGGTTAAATAATAATTGACAGCTCTTCATGCCCAACAATCCTCGAAAAGGGATCGTTTGTTGTGTTGAATTATAAACTAACTTATTGTCTAAATTGATGTCTGTAGTAATTACGGTATAGTATCTTTAAAAGACACTTGTTGATAATTAAAGGGCTTCGTATAATTAATTACCGAGTTATTTTTTAGTGGAAAAAAAACGAAGAGCGAGCAAAAAATCGCCCGTTATTAGGCCAATAATAGCTTGTTCTGATAAAACCCTTATACCATTCACACAGACTCAAAAGAGGGCACTAATCATTCGATAATGAACGCCTATTGTTGGCAGGGTGCTTTCAAGATATTGCTTTGCCTCCTAGGGATTTCTGAATTATCTCCCTTTTCGGAGTGCTCGCTTCGCGTTTTAATGAAAAGAGTTCACTACACATTTCCGACGCACCTAATGGAAAACAGCATCAACGGAACGAAATTGAAATTATTCTCCTTTAATAATCGCCGGGCGGGCGTGTTTTGTCAAAGTGTACAAATCAAACACCCTTTCTCGTTCGCTCGCGTATTAATTATATCGAATCTTGTTTTTGCACTCGATCAATCCTTTGCACGGGACGCCCCGGGCGGTCGGGATTTCTTTGATGAAAACTTAACGAGTCAAATAATTGAAGTAATCTAAGGCGGTTGTAAAATTTACTTTATTTCGAAATTCAATAAAGTTTATAATGTTTGAATATACTTTGAATTAGTTTTGGAAAACCTAAAAATTTGATGAATTAAAAAGAAAGGAGCTTTCAACAGCTTTTAAAATCTACTACTCATCAAAAAAATACTCATTTTTCGTTTAATTTACTAAAATAACTATTCATAATTTATCGAAAATCCTTTGAAACTGTCCCATTTTCTTTGCATGCATGCATGACCGATACATCGAAATCTACATATAGGATACATTCGCATCCGGTTTGTGTTTGATGTTCAACCATCACCCGGATGAATTTCCACCTGAACCCACAATCGCTCTTCGCCGATGAAAATCTGCCATTAACAAGCCACCAGTTTCCATCAATAAAGTACCGCGACCTTATACGTATTCATTGGAAAAACTCATGAATACATATAGCAGTTTATCCCATCAAACAATCGTACGTAAAAGCTTTATAAAAAAATAACAAACTTGAAAATAAAAGTATCTTCTTTTTAGAAGTTGTTAAAGAAATTATAATTTTAGTTAAGTATTGAGTATACAAAATGTGTTTCGAACGAGAAACAAAATTAAAAATCATCGTTTTTCCAATGAATCGCGGCCCTCTCATTTGCGAGTACATAAAAATTGTTTTCCCCGGCTCATTCACACCGTCCGCCGGTAAATACAACATAAAAGCGAAATAAACAATTTTCATTCGAATTGATTTCGCACTCTCGCGGCAAATTTCCTCCTAAAAAGCTGCTCGACGGATCGCTCGAGACCCGAATCGAACTTCAGGAGTGACAAATTGAAATTTGCACCGTGGAAAATGCAAAACGCAACGGGAGTTAGCGGAACGGGTCGAAATAAATATTTTAATTGAGTATAGCGGAGAGAGCGGGTCCGTTCGCATGCAGTAGTTTAATTTAGACGAATGCAAATTTTATGCGGGATTCTACTTCCCGACGGGCATTTTTAAATTGTATAGAACAACGGCAGACGACGTCAACTTCATAATGGAACCGCTCTATTTCATACTTTCCTACGCAATTCGTATACCAACAGAGAAATATAAGAGTTTCGTATTTTTTAATCAACCATTACTCATGCAAATTCCAGCTCTATTCCGATTTCGTAAATAGGTACATACTTACATTTTTCATTACATCCAGCCCAGTTCGAAAAGTCGCCTCCATTATGTTTTAGTTGCGCCGTAATCGTTTATCGGAAACGAGTCTTGCTGCTTATACCGCCGAAACAGATTAAAACGAAAATACTCGGGATTTGCGAGCGGCGCACTTTTAATTTCACAGATGAATAGTCTCGCAGACTATTGAGGAACTGGTCTGAATTGAAAAAGTCAACCGAAGAATCGCGAAGTGATCAAAGCGAGTACGCAAATTGTGATTCGTTCCGTTCGACGTTTCTCGAAATGTTAATACCGGTGAGTGTGTCTGGAGAGAGCGGGAAGGGCGAGAGAGCTTTGCAAGCGGCGATAAAAAAAAACAATGCGCTACAAAAAGGTGTAGAATTAATCGGAATTTAGAAAAAATTGCCGCAATTATCTGAATTTAGTTTTATTTTCTACCGGTGACCGAGTAACTTTCTGTGGCTGATCGAATGCTATGAAAAGATAAGAGAGTTTGATTGTTATCGAGCACAAAGAGCTTGACTGACCATCAGCTTATTATCGGTCCTATCTAAAATTCCTCTAGGTCTTCAATCCTACAGCATAAGCGCCCATGAACGAATCGAGCTGATTATGAGCGCTGAGGTTCGATTTATATGCGACAGATTATAAGCGCTGATGGTGACAATCGGTCGTGTCTGAAACGAGTCCTGATTAACTTCGATTTATAAACGACTGATGGCCATCGGTCAAGCATTCAAATCGGTCGAAAGCGCATCGTCGGCGGCGCTAAATCAACACTGTAGTTGGAAAAGCAGAAATGATTCTCGTCGTAAATTCGACTTGACTAAAAACAACGAGCCGTCCGCCATAAATAAACAGAGAAACACGGGAAAACAACGGTCGTATTTAAAAGCGTTTCTACTTTTTATCGTCGCCCCGGCCGCTCTTTTGTGCTATTTGATATAGAACTTATCGCGGACGGGCGATTATTGCGGTTCGACAACTCCTCTACGCGGTGGCGAGCGAATTCTTTGTTTCTAATTCCGATCGACGGACAATACCGAAACGGAATTGTGGCCGGATAAAAAGGGCAAAAAAATGCGTTTTACAAAATATAAATAATACGCTATTATTAACTCACTATAAGCCCCAAACTGAATGTAATAATCGTTTAAACAAATCAAATTGCAAAACTCATTTATTAGATAGGTAAACGCAATCAATTTTAAACGTATTTTTTCCAATTATCCCCGGAATTTCCTAGTAGGTAATCTGGAGAGGACTATCTCGTGAATTCGGAGCAATTATGGTGTTAATGGCATCTCCAAAAAATAGGGATCCACCTACATTTACCTATTCTGCGCGAGCACAAAGCCCGAGGAACGGGCGAGAATCTCTTAAGTTAAAAAAGAAAACCGTTCCCAAGAACCCGGAGCGCTGCTCGGTAAAATAAATCCTCGAAAAACTCGTTTATTTGAAATTTGCTCGGGCCAGGGAAATTATTGGATAAACACTCGGGGCCGACATTTGCATAGGAATATTTTCTGGATATTCCCGGCGTCGCGCGATCGATGCCGGGGCCTCCTTAATGAGATGTTAATTGACTTCATTAATTCAAATGCACAAGGCAAAAGTACTGTACATTTTTCGCAATGAAACGGCTCTTTCCGCGCCCCGGCCAGGGCTCTCGAAACTCCGTTAGGAATATTTCACGGTTAAGTAACTCCTGTCGTCATTAACTCCCATCGATCGGTCGGCGTCCCTTCATTTAACCTTATATGGGCGCAAAGCGAACAGGAAGAAAAGGCTCGTCCCCGGGGAGAAATACGGCCCCGAAACTGTCACCTTTTAATAGATATACTTCTAAATCTCGAAAAATATTGGATGCGTCCTTTGTGCGAAAACGTGGGGTATGAAGTGATTTGGAAGATTGTTGAGGAATATTAGTGGATACTTTCCGACGGCGTTGATGCCATAACGAATACGGTTATTTCGAGTCGAGGGAAAATAGAAAATGTTATACGATGCGATTCCGCCGTGAATACGAGGGATCTTTTTGCGATTTTCAATCGAGTTAAGAATGTAACTAACCTCATTGGTAAAAGGGAAAATTGAATTTGCTTAAAGGTTAGTAAATTCTTGCAATAATATACAGGATGTTTATTAATTGAGTACCGATACTTCAGGATGTGAATATTTGGATGATTTTAAGAAGCAAAGTATTAAAAAAGTCCTAAAAATATTATGATTTAGAACATACATACATAAATTGATTAAACTTTTCTTCTTAAAATCATCCAAACATTATTCACATCCTGAAGTATCGGCACTATTAATTAACATCCTGTATATACTTATTAAAAAATTATTCATTTAGAAGGGTAATTCTATTGCAATTATGACTTAAAATTTACAAAATAATTATACTTGAAATGCAAATATTACCGTATACATTCAACAAAATTAAATCAATATTGTAGCGAGTTTTTATCAGTAAAATCCAATAAGTTTTATTTACTTATCGTAACAAAAGTCAATTTATTCATATCCAATATTTTCAATATACGGATGCAAAATAGTTTTTTGTCCGTAGATTTAATAACGTTTTTGAATTTCGCATTCTATTTGTCTGTCGCGGCGCATTCATTGTGAATATTGCATATTGAGTTTCGATCTATTACGGACTCGAATGCTCTCTCGGCGGTTGAGATGCTGTCAATTTACTTCGATTTCATCGAATATTAAATATATGTACGTCGAATGTATGAAAAAGCAGATTTAATATTTTTGTGTTCGTGAATGGTAGCGAATGTGGCTCTATAAATCTGCGATCTGAAGTGCATTTCAAAGGGAAAAATTCCAATAAAAATCGGAAAATGAACGCCGATGTCGTAGAAATCGCTCAATGATTCGGATTAGAAAACGCTTTGCGAATAAAACTAATACGGCAACAAGTATTTTGCGTTACGCCCATACTCGTAAATTTCGCTGTAAAACTCACAAACACACCACCATAAACAAACATATAAACATCACTAGGCCTATTCAAGCAAAACAAACACTCTTTAGTATCTGTTTCGTCTCCCCATATACCTTATAAATCTCTAAAGAATAGGGAAAACCGGCTGAGGGCGAATTATTGAAGAAAAATATATCTCGCAGAAATAAATAATTTGCCTTCGAGGAGTTGTAGGGTTATTTTTTATTACGAATAAAGAAGACAAATTGTTAATAAAGGAGTTGATTTTAACAAACTTCTACTCTCCCTCGTGGGATTTAATTGACCGATTAATGCAATATAACAATATTCCATTCCGTACTCAATTTTCGTTCCTCAAACAACGAATTGAATCCGTCGAAAAGGCCTTTTGTAAGTACATTTTCGAGCCATCGGAAAAGTCTCCTTCCAAAAAACTTTATTCATAAAATGTTAAACACTTCCTTATACTCGTCGCTTTTATTTAAACCCCGTGAAGTTTCATGGAAACCTTCGGTCCGAGAAAACCGGAAAAGTTTTTAAATCCTTTTCAGACTGTGTCGTACATTCAACGAAAATAAATTTAATACACCCGCATTCTTTTAATCGGCTTATTTGATTCCGGAGTTTCCTCCCCCATAACTCGAATTGTTCTCGCTAGTTCATTGTAACATTCGCTACTACAACTAATTAAGAGTTTATAATTAAATTTGCTATAATTAGGTAGAGTTTGTTATTGAAATAAACTAGTATTCATCTCTACATCTACATTTTCTCTTTATTAGTTAATTTTTCGAATTAAAAACAAAAAATTGCTCGTATAAATTCCAAAGGTTGAAAAGTTTCGCGAAATTTTTCGATTAAAAGTTTATTCGATTCTCTTTTGGATCGGAAATTCGGAAATTCCAATCGATAAAGCAAAGAAGTCTTCGACGAGAAACAATTTAATCTCCATTAACTGCGAAAAATAAATACAGAGTTATTCAAAAGCCGCGCGGCGGGTTTTGCGATTCAATATTTTATAAGATTACCAAGTTGTAAATTTCGTTGAGAATTGCTCCCCCCGTTCGATCGTGAATAATTTATGCGCAACACTTTCTTGTTGTTATTTAAATATATCCAGTATTTAGGCATTTTTGTTAATTAGATTTATCAGGCATTTCTCGAGACGTTTTACGTTACAGTTGGAAATTGTATTCAATTAAAGGAGGTGTAACTTTAGCCGTCTCGTCCCCGTCACGCCATCCGTTTCGCAATAATATTATTCCGGGGCTCTGTAAAAATGCATCACAAAATATTCATATCCATAAGGAAGCCTGACAGCTTTTATTTTCGAAATATTCACGTCATCTTTTCTTATATATTTTCGCTGAATTCCCCGGAGGTTTTCCCGACACCGCTAAAAGTTACAAAACCGACGTAAAAAATATGCTTTGTATTCGGCCGACATCGCCTCTAAAAGCCTCTTTTCGTTGGTTATTGAGCGAGCTAAGAGATATATAATGAGTAATTTTCGTTTTTTTTATTCGGAAATCGTTTACTTTATGTAATGGCGTCGTTAAAAATTTATCTACTGTAACACCGGGTTTCTATTTACATACTAATGCCCCATCCGGCTCGGACTTTATCCCCGTTTTTACCTTTTTAGAGTTACTTATAGCTAGTTTTAGTGACGTTACGGAGAACAATAGCGCCTTTTTGCCCGTCTAATTACCGGCTATTTGATTATCTAAATTTCTGTTGAATTAACTTTTGTAGAAAGGGGATAAAAGAAACTTTACGTATCAATTACAAGAAATAAGGAATTAAGTTCAACGAAAAAAAGAATGTAGGTACTTTTGGTTTGTACTAATTTTACAAAACAATTGTTATGATATGATATACCAGCAGATGCAAAATTGGTTGCTACAGGTTGATGCATCTTATAAAGAATTGACCATATTGCAAATACATTTTTGCTTTTACCAGGACTAAACTTTATGCTGGGTATATTCAAATGTTGTTCCATTTTTTGTTCCTAAGCTTATACAAATCCCTGTGTATAGGTACAAAAAATATTTAGTGCAGTATATGGAAGGTATTAACGAGAAAATCCGAAAGCTTTTAAACAAAAAATCACATACGCATCTCGATTTCAAGTAACATAAAGCAAAAAAAATGAATGCTGTGTTTCGAGAAAGATACAGAACACTTATGAGACTTTTCGACGTTTTCCTCGTATCAGATAATTCACTTCTTTTCTCTTCCTTAACGTGTGCATTCACATCCGTGACGAGGAATCAAAATTACTTACGTGTTAAAGATTTCTTATAGTGTCCCTTAGATGATATACGCAACTCCGTCCCTTCTTTTCTCTAATCCAAGAAAATGGATCCCATCTTTTTTCCTTTATATTAAATTTATGTAACTGACAGTTCAGCTAAAAAGATAAACGTCGCTCAATTTCGTCTCGTGGGAGCGAAAGAAACGCTTTTGCATCCCGAAAATATCAACGAATATACTGGTGTTTTATACGAGCGTTATTAATCAATATATTTTTTTTACAGGCGAACCTAAGAAAGACCAATGCAACAAAACCGTAGAAATATACGAAGACGTTTCGTCGCCGGAGGTCACCGAAGCCAACTTCGGCAAACCCATGACGTGCTGGTACCGGTTTCGATCCTTCCGGGGCACTCCCAAAGACTGGATACTGAGGATTAAATTCAACAAATTCAAAATCGGGAATTTGCTCAACGCCACTCATTGCGAAGGCGGCTATTTACAGGTAAGCCAATGCGCATGACGCACTCGCGTCTACAGCTATACCTGTCGTACAGTACCTATTGAAAATCTAGATTGTTTGAGAGAGAAATTTTCTTGTACTGTGGTTGGGAAACCAATGCGCAAGACACTTTCACGTCTACAACTATTCCTATCGGACTGTACTTATTAAAAATATTTTTTTCGAAAGAAATTTTGTTATATTGTAATGCGCATGAGACTCTCACGTCTACAGATATTCCTATCGTACTGTACCTATTAAAAATATAAATTGTTTACAAAAGAATAGTTCTTGTACACCGTGGTTATTGGTCAACAAAACCATCGGCCTGTGCAATTCGATTATCAAAGCAATATCTCCCGGAATTTGATTTCCAAAAATTGATTCAACAAGCGATGGAAATCATAATTCAACGTCGATTTTCGCAAATGCAACAGTCGTGTTCAAATCGGGACGGGCGCTATAAAAGGCGGTATATTTCATTATGGCGTTATCCAGCGCGCTATCATTCTTAATTATGGTGAAATTGTTATAAATGGTCGGCGTTTATTGTTCTTTTAAAATATCCGGGTAATATTAAAAACAATTTTTCAACGGTCGAAGATTAATAGTCGGCGAATTTACGCGGAATTAAAACGAACCGCTTTCAAGGTAAACACGAAGGAATGAAAAGCTGAATAAACCGGAAAAAATACTTTCAATTACTACATCAATTAAAAGTGATTATTAGGTTGTTTATTAATGAAATAATTTTTATACACACTTAATTCTTCGTTTCCTACTAGCAATAGGATGCTGTAACCTAAGCATTTTTGCAAAATTTTAATATTTCCTCATTTAATAAAGCCAATTCTCATTATGCATAAATTAGCACGGGTATCCTTGATGACAGAGAAATAAAAAGCGTCCAACAAAAACCGACGCCGGCCGTCGTACAATTTTGTTTATGATCTCAAAGCGAATTTTCTTTATATAGAAATTTCGTTATCTCAAAGCACCTCGAAAAACTTTGTAACAAGATAGCAGCGTCCGGGTTTCCGTTCCGAATTTTAGTTTAAGTAGATATCCGTGTCTCTCCTCATAATTTTTATAAGCGAAAAGCGCGTTTTCGAAATTAATCTCGCTAATTAATGCTTTAATGCAATTATACGTGTGCAGAGCAGGTTCTATAAAAACATAGCGAACTTTAAATGCCTTTATTAAATAGTAGAGAAATTAAGGTGAAGCCAATCGGTAGGAAACGCTGATGTTACAAGCCTGTCCTTCGAGGCCATCTTGTCCCCCGCTCAATAATATACCAGCTATAACATGTTTATCCAATTCAAACAGCTCGTTTACGCCTCTCGCGTCGTTCGTGCTCCCGACGGAGACGCGCCTTCCGTCCGTCAGATCGAAGTCCAGACAATCCAGAGCTCCGTCGCCCCAAGCTCGCAGCGCCTTCAAATCGGCGCCCTTGAAGTCGATGTACTCGCTCTCCCTCGACCACTTGCCCAGCTCGCTCTCATCCCCGTTCTCCCAGTAGATCTTCAAGCCGGATATCTTCCGCAAAGCGTACGGCCGTATCCGCCATATCCACACGGTCACCCCAAGCATCCGGTTCCTCCTCTCGCCCAGCATCTTCGGCTGCAGCGGCTGCGGGACGTCTTCGGCGACGATTTGGCGCGCGTGCCACGGCGTCGGTCTGCAGAAGTTCTTGGAGAAGATGATGGCGCTGTTGTAGGGGGCGTCTTCGGAATCGGTGTGCTCCAGGGCGGCTCTCCACACGTCCAGGAATTCCAAACCGTTGAGTCCTATGTAGGTTCTGGCGGTGGCGATGGCGTCGTAGACGTTGTCCGGATCGCAGGTCTGGTAGGCTTTCTCGACGCTCTCGTGCAGGACTCTGTTGATGTAGTTGAAGACGCCGTCTTGGCCGAGCAGTAGATGTTTCAAGTATTCTTTCAATCTTACCACGTCGGTTGAATTGAGTTTCAGTTTGTCGGCGTTCCTGATGCCGAATTGGTAGTATTTCACCTTCATCGTGACGAAGTTCGAGTATAAAGGAAGTATGAATTCGTTAATTGCAACGTAATCGCTGTTGTCTTCTTTGGCAATGCTGAAATGGTGTTCGAAGCCCACCAAATCTTTCGCGATGTACATGAAGTGACGGTTCACGTCTTGCCCCAATTCCGGGTGTTCGATCTCCCTGTTCAGGCTGTTGATTTTTTCCTTCATGTACCTGAGTTGCCCGCCGATGATGCCTCTGATGGCTTCTTGCGTTTTCTTATCCACCAGCGCTTCGACTTTCGATTCGATCTCGCTCCAAATGTCCGTTTCCGTTTCGGGCCAGAAGAAATCCACCAAAGCGGAGAAAACCGGGCCCACTTTCGGTATGAATCCCACGCCGAACGACACCAGCGCCTTGGCCATATCGTTTATATCGATTTTCAGTTCCCAGTTGGGTCCGATGGAATCGTACCAAGGCCAGCCTTTCCTGTACCCTACGTGCACCAAAGCCCGGAGCTTCGAATCCTTATTTTGCACTTTCAAGCCGGTGTAATAGTACAATCTGTTGCCGTTGTCGAACACCTTCTCGTCACCCGGGTTGAGAGTGTAGGCGACGATAATACCGTGCCATTTGATCGCTGTACCGTACCAAGATTCGCAGTAAACTTCCGTTCTGCCGATGTTCAGGCATTTGTAACTGTCCAAGCTGTGAGGGAACACCCCTTGGTTGTCTGTTACGCACATTCTAGCTGAATCAGCTGCTATTTGGTAGCAGCTGATGTTGTAGCGCTGGCCACTTCGAGGAGGCATGGTTTAGCTGGTAGAAAAAATACTCTTACCACCGTGTTCAATTGGTACTTTGCATTAGTTCGAACTGGCATCGTATTTATATGCATTTTTCTAATTTCCTGTTGTTTAACTATTTAACCGCTGCATTTTTACGTGAAAAATATCTCCGATATAACAAATACAGATAAAACAAAGGACATCAAAATAATACCTACCACAAATCAAGCATTATAAACAAACAACAATCGTTGTTAATTTCATGTCAACAATTAGGTAAAATATTATCATTTCCGTATGAGATTCGATGATTGTTCCACCTGTGTTTGGAGCGTTCGCTTTCGCCCGAAGAGCACGAGGCGTGACATCGCTGAAAGGCCGGAACGTTTTTAATCCGACCATTAAATATCCGCGCTTCCAGCGCGATACCGGGGCACAAAGGAGCGAAAGAGAGAGGAACAAAACGGAGCGTAAATGAGTCGGGCTCGCCGTAAATTATAACACATGCTAAGAGTTTTATTTTGCCAAATGAATTGCTCAGATAGCGTGCTAAACTCCGCGGACAGACGCCCTCATTGTTGTCGGGGTGAGCGTTTCAAAGCGGCTAAATTATCTTTAGTAATTCCGGCGTATCACGATAGTGTTTCGTATTATTATGCAACTAATTAGCGGAGTATTTTATTTCGATTTTCTAAGCGTATACACCGAGAAAAATGTTATATAACAAGCTCATTGATTATTCATATGCGGCACGCACTTTTTTTATATGTATTTACAATGCCGTTCTCTTCCTCGATGGGTCGCCTCAAAATGCAAAAAGCCAGCCAATTATGTCTTTTCTTTGTTCGGAAAAAAAGCGCTCTTCCGAACCCCTCTTTGGTATTCCGTTCGCCAGTATTTGCAATCCCTTCTGTTTATTTAATAGGCGAAGCAATCCGGCGAGTTTTCCGAGGAATTTTTTCGAGAAGGTGTCAATGCTTTTCAATTATACGCCGCATTAGGGAAAGCCCTGGTAGGCAAATAAAAGCGTAGACGCGAATACTTGGGCGCAAACGGCTTGCATTTCTAATGAAAATGCTTTCTGAGGTTTTCCATTCGCTTATATCGCGGGCTTTTTTGCATACGAAACGAGTCGGGTGTGTTCGATTTGCATTCAGTAATTTATTTGAAATTGGAGAAAATTATTAACAAAAGCGGTAAACTTTGAAAGTATTCTCGATATCGAAATATACTCTCAACCTTTTTGATAAAGTATATTCGTAACGTATATTGAATAAGCTGGTTTTATTACAGAAATTTCCGATCAAATGTAAAACTTTTTCCTGCATATATTCATTCGAAAATAAGTAGTTTATAATAAATAATTTTAAGTATGAAAAGCTTTGGTTATGGTTCGATTATAATTTGAAAATTTATTCACTGTCTGGTAGAATAAACTTTGCTCAATAATTTTACCATATTTGCATAATATCTAGAACCTTATTCAAGTGACAACAACAATAAATAACGTTGCCCGTTTCTATTTTCGAGCATTCATGCAACATTAAAGAAGGGCTTCGTGCATTTACTTTACTATAAAAAATTCTCGTATTCCGAGTATCGCTCGGCGGAAACGAAACGTCGAGTCTTCAAAAAATTTAAAATTTCCACGTTAAATTCGACCGTCGAGACGACGACGCGGCTCTTCCCTAGCAAATACGGGCGTCGGGAAAATAAAAGAAAATATATAGCACAAGTAGGGTAATTCGCGGAATCTTTTCCCGCTTTTTACGCCGCTAATTAAAACCGAGTGTTAATTTTTTTATCGACCTCTCGCAAATTCCCGTTTTTCTCTCCACTTTTAGCGCTCGAAACAACGAAATTAATAATTATAAATTCGCGATTTGATGACGCTAATTAAAGCGAAACTATCCCGCTTCGAAATCGAAGGACAAAGCGCGGCAAGTTGGAAAAAGTCAATTTTCCAATATCCAGCTCGAGCGGAGCTCGTCCCGGGCATGAATAAATAAATGGAACATAAAATCAAAAAAAAATCCAGCGAAATTATTAGATCTCCGGTAATTGTGAGCGATATTACTTTTTATCCCCAAAGCAAACAAATAAAGCTCCCAAGGATTCTGCGAGGATACGGTGAGGAGGGAATATTCTCCTCTCGGCTATAACATCCATATTCTAATGTTCCATCAGACTTACGATATAATAAAACAGGAAAGTGCAGATGCGAGGTAATGCAAGTAAGCCGATAAAAACTTTGAGCGCTATGGCGGATCGTTATCTTCTTAGTTATAAAAGTATGATAATAGAGTAAAGTTATTTTGTCTAGCACTGAGAACAAATTGAATTTTTAATATGTTTGCAGGTAATTGAAGCCAAAAAACAATATTTGCTTTAATATGAAATTCCTACCGAAACAAAATGAAGACTTCAAGCGAACGATTTATGTATATAAATTTTAATTTCTTAACCAACAAACATCTCATCAAAGCTAGTATTACATTAGAGTTTCACATTTATTAATACAAGTCACAGATACAGGATTTGACGTACTAAACAGAGCAAATACGCTGAATAATATTACAGCCATGTTTATAATTAGGGCTGATGATCTTTAAATAAACTCCCCAGGTGCTCAGTATATCATGCTCTATATCCCTTGACAAACTTCAGACGTATACGTGACACATTTAAACTCGCAGTAAACTAACTTGATATATCACCGAGTATAGCATTTGCCAAATAGAGCCTCGGCGAATCCTTACGCATCTGGTTAAGCCGGTCTTGTTCTACACGAGGTTTTTGATTTTCCAATTATACTCTGAAACGAAAATTTATTCGCAGATTTGTCGAGTACACGCGTACATTCGACTTGAGGATTAATTTTTCCGAGTTCACCAGCCGGGATCGATTGCTCGGGTGCTTATGATTTCGCATCCATCACCGTTGAGTTATATCACGCTCTAATCTAAAGATAAACTGCAGACACACTCGGTAATATTGGCGCCTCTTAACTTTGCATTTTATATATATTTCGCCGGTTTATAGCGCAAGTTTAGAGTGTGCAATTTATTTAATATTTCGACCGTCGTAACCGGCCAACGAACGAGGAAATTTTACTCAACATTTTAATAGTTTTCGCGAATTTTAGAGCAAAAAATAGAGCAATAATAAAGTATAATATATACAATGAATAAGGGAGAGATAGTGCGATAAAAACAAGATTGAATTGGGGCAACGGCTTGAAATTTGGTTTCAAAAAGAAATTATGCACGACTAGAAGATGTTAGATGAATAAAAATATTAGTAATTTTTACCTGAGCCTTTGTCAATGTCAGTCAACGTTGTTGCCACGGAGGTTTTTGAACTACTATCCGGTTTTTTGGCGCAACGTTTCCTAAAAACGTAAAAATGATTTAATATCAAATTTATTTAATGAAATAAAACAGTAAAAAAAGAGCAAAAATAATTCATTCTACTCGAATTTTCAAATCTTCTATTCGTTTTGTTTCTCAAAAATCACTAACAACTACACAGAACCATTTAAAACCCTCCAGAAATATTTAAAACTGTATAGAACCATTTAGAACGCCACATAATCATTTAGAACTGTCTAGAACCGTTTCGAACGCTACAGAATAATTTAGAACTGTCTAGAACCATTTAGAATGCTCCAGAACGATGACTATGCACGATCCTACACTAAAAAAAGTGTAAAGTTTGTAAACTAGTGTTAATATTAGTTAATTAATCCTCCCATTGTGAAACAAAATAATTCCATTATTCAAAACACCAGACGAAAATACACCCGAATTTCCCCAACGAAATTATACGTTTTGCTCGATTCAATTTATCCTCGCAAAGGACCCATCCATTCGCCGTGCCCAACATCCAGTTCTTTTCTCTTAGCAATTGCCGTTTTAATGCCTTCTAATCCCTCCAGGATGAATATATCTATTAGCTTTTATTTATTAGCCAATTCGCCGTCTTTCCAAACTCAATTTGTTGTCGTCCGGAGCCTAATAGACTAGCAAAGGATCCGAAATGACGACGCGGAGATCGCTAAACTGGTAAACATGCCGGGGAAATGGGAAATTGTCTTACCAAAAGATGGAAAAAAATAATATTTGAATCTTCTGTTTCGGTGTAGGAGCCTTCCGAGTTTTCCTGTTTACTAACGCGGATGTAATAATAACTGTATATATAGGGTTATAATAAACGGAGTGAATGGTTGGGATAATTACCATAGCGGTTCGGATTTGGAGAGATGCTCCAGCATTTCGTATTCGATTTTCATTTCTCTGGGCGGGGGCGGTTTGATGTCTGTCGATTCGTATTTTTTACTCATTCTCGACGATAAGGGTAACGACAATTGGCTCAATCTCCACGTGCATTTGGACTTACTCATGGCTTTTTCCATCATCCTCCTGATATCTGCCGGTACGTCTTCTAGCGAAGGATCGTAAACTGCAAGCTGCCTCTCCGGAAATACCGTTATGCCCATTCCGTATTTATTATTATCGTCATTGCTTTCGTTTATATTAACAGTTTTTTTAGTGTTTTCTTCTTGTTGGGTATTTTTTTGCGGGTAACTCTGCGAGTTACTGTAATTTTGCGCGTCGCCGTAACATTGTGTATTACTATAATTTTGTTCATTACCGTAATTTTGGTTGTTGTTGCAAGTACAATAGCGTATATTACTGTAATATTGCGGATTATTGTAATAATTCGCGTAATAATTATTGCAATAGTTGGTATTCGTATGGCACTCGCACGTACATTGCATTTTGGAATTTTTTATGCTAAATTAATGTTAATTAAACGCTAAAAATTTTGACAACTAATGACACAATAAACAACTTTGTATAAGAGCTATTGTCGATGCAAAACAAATACAAATGCTAGTTGTTTTGCACCGACTGTAAATGCGCAAAAACAATGAATTTCAACAGAAGCGGTATAAAAGAGAGCTATTGAATAAAATCGATAAGAAAAAATTAATAAAACATGCCAGAAATTGGGGAATCGCAAAAAATGGTATAGGGCGTAAAAAATATGCTAGGCACATATAGGGCGAGGAATACTCGCACGTATACGTATCATTTCAATCCTTACAACACTTTTATTTCTCCTAAATAGCAGCATAAAGTGAATGGGTCCGATGAAACGCCCCAGATAAAACATTCACGCCGGGAATAATATTCATTCTGAAAATGTTTAATGATCATTCACTTCGGATATTCGAGCGTTACGTGCTTTTTAGTTTGCATCAGCCGCGCTCGCGAATTCGAACGTACTTCTTCGCGAACCGTATTCTTTATGCAGGAATTCGCCCCGGCGGCCCGAACAACGTCACGTACGAGATAAAACCCCGCTCTACGTTTTTTTTTTTTTCGGAAAAAAATAAAATAGCTTTTGTCTGGAACATCGATCGCAACCCCCGAGTTTTTTTACGCCCGGCCGTAATGAGCAGGGCGTCAGAACGGAAATTAAATTTGAAAGGAAGATTTGTAACGGTGGGTAATTTCTCGCGAAACATTTGTACTTGTAATAAAGCGAAAATAATAGAAGCCGGGGAAACGCGCCGACGTTCTGCAATGAATATCCCCCGCGTATTTTTTCGTAGTTAAAATCTCATTAAATCCCACCCGACGCATAAATCTGTATTACGCCCGAATAAAAAAGAATACTATAGATAGATGTATACTAATTTTATTCAAAACGTTCCAAAGTAACAAGTTATTAATCCTACAGGATCCTACAGGATCACCTGTAGGTGAGAAACGGATCGATACGCGCCCGAGAGCCGGTCAAAAATGAAGGAACAAAAATAAAAAAAAAGTCCCGGCATATTCCCTGTTTATATCGACGCCGTGTGTGCCGGAGAGCGCTCTCCGGTTTTATTTTATTAAAGTATTTCCTGGTCTCTTTTCGAAACCCGAACGCGGCCGATACGACCTCAAAGTGTTGAATAGAGTACAAGTTCAAGCGACGTACACCGGAATAAATAAAATATTTTTTCGCATGTCAAGGAGCGCGAAACGATGAGACCCCGGCTCTTCCGGGCGCACGTTATCCGGTATATTCCTCGAAATGACGGAATGAAAATGTCTGTATGCGTTATTTATTTTCACCTTCTCCGATGTCGCGTTTGATACTTTTTTTTGGTCCATTTTTTGGTCCGTCCGAGCCGGATTTTGTTTGCGAACGACTCGGCAATTTCGCAAATTGCCGGGAAATCGGAGGAACATCTCTAACCTTTCGTGTCTTTTTAACTAAACAGTACCGCATCCGATTTATAGACTAAGCGGATACAACGCGTTTGTTTTATGGAGATGACAAAAGCAGTCTGATGGGAATCGAGTCCTGCGAATCCGAGTTGCAAACCGAACTACCACGGACGGAGTTTCTGTTCCTGTTTCAGAGACGTGTCACGGACAGAGATAAAACAGAAACAGTTCCTTTTATCATTCCGAAGATCTCGCTCGCTTGTATGAACAATCCTCGTTTCGAATGCATGTACGTTTTGACCATTTTAATCGACAACTTTAATCGACCTTTCGAAACCAAATTGCAAACCAAACTTCTATTAATTTAAACCTTCGAATGATTAGAATAAAATAGCAAAATTCTGTAAAGCACACTCGACAAATGCTCCATATACCATCGATATGCGAATAAAAGTCGCCGAGTGCTCGACCTGATCAATTTTAACCACAAGATTGTCCTATTTTTATGAACTCTCTCGCGCTGCTGGCGTTCCGCCAGTTCTAAAGTTTCCGGAAAATTGAATGCTCGGTGCTCTGTGCAGTTTAAGCGATCTCTTGACATTTCTCATCGACTCCCAGAATCTCTCCAATTAAAACATAATAGCTTATCAGTATCGGACAGTTGACTCGCTATAATTGACCTATTGAAGAATCCATTTCGTTAATTTATCCGTTCGAAAATACGTTTTATATTGCTCTACATGTAATGTACAAATTTGGAAAAAAGTCTCTTATTTTGGACCTTATGGTAGGTACTCAATCACGTTGCACAGTTAGGAGTAGATTTTGTGCATATATAGACACTCGTACAAGGCGATTAAAGTTCATTAAATTAAACCATTTCCCAAAGCTAGCTATCGCTAATGAAATTGATAGATTTTTCAGTGGCTTTCAAACATAAAATATCAATCAACCGGGTAATACACAGACGCACGGGATAATCTCATTAAAGCGTCTGTAGGTGCTTGAAGCTTCATTATTGGTATTGATCACGAAGTTTATAGCCCATATCCCTTTCTGCGAGTACGTCGAGAACGAGTATTAGGAATTAATTCCGTTTGTACTGGCGGGCATCGACTGAAAATCGAAACTCCATTCACGAGAAATTAGGTGGCAGTTAATTGAGAGATCGAATGCGGATTAAACAAAAGTCTAACGGAATGTTGAAGATTTAAATTTTTGATGGAGGTGTCTTTTAATTATTCGTCGATTAAACGGCGCTATAAGGTGCTATGTGGAATATATATCGAGATTTTCTTATTGCATTTCGCCGGGTTATTGTCGAGATAAGTCAATTTATTGCTGAAGCTTAAATAGCTTCGTTTAACGAAATTAGTCTGATAAATAGTGCAGCACGTCTGGCGACGTTGGACTATTATCGTTAGCTTTTCACGGAAAAGGGTCGTAAGTACAGGGATCATGTACACACTATATAAAAGAAATTTCTCAATGGCTATAGCTTTGAGCCATAAAAACTTTAAATTATTGCATATTGCTACCAGTTACATTGGTGAAATAAAAATGTTTTTTTCAGATAAATTAAAGCACCATTCTTTTGACTCTGTACGCGATGATAAAATCGAATCATAGGAATATTTAGATAAATTATTTCTTAAATTTTTCGAGTCTCAACAGGGTGATAAACCCGAATGATTGGGTAGAGTTCGGGTATATCTTCGTATTAATCTCTAATTCCAATACATTCTGGTCTAAACTTAAATAATGTAACTTTATCGGTGTGTTCTTGTTAGAGGCTCCGGCTGTGCTATCGGCCGCCGTGCGAAAGATCGATTTGTTTCTGGGGAATAAATGGTTGCCGATGGATAAAATAGGGACCGCAGTTGAAATTTATTAGTTTAACGTAAAGCGCTATTTAGAACTCCCTGTTTTAGATTGTGTTTATTCGACCTTTGCCTTTTTAGAACGAGCCGCTCCGAAATGGAAAGGCTATTTATATTTTAATCTTTTTTTTCCTGAGGAATGATTCATCTATTTTTCTTCGGGAAATTGCTACAGTTGGTGCAAAACATATATCAATGCACGTTATTACTGTCATACTTGCCAATCATTGTGTCCAACTTTTAAAGTACCCCTAAATTATAAATAAAATTCAATTTGTTCTTGTCATTTTGCCATTTGACCATTTAATAAATTATTGGTGACGTGCATTGATATTTGTTTTGCACCGACTATAGGTACTAACTTATTTTATTTAATTATTTAATGCGAGGAGCATTCGAAAATTGAATACATTGGCGAGTTATTTGGAAAATTTCGTTAGGTTAAATTTTCCGTAGAGATTTGTTGGTTGAATTCCAAAGCGAATTGTTGGATTTCAGCATAAATTGTATACCTACATATACCTACTAGGTAGATGCTCGAAATGAATCGTTGGAATACAGGAATAAATTGTACAGGTTTTTAATATTGGTTTGAACCCTTCCCTGATTTATTCCTCCCTTATTACTCCAATGAAATAAAAAAACTAACCGACAAAGAGTGTTCTTAATCGTACACCCGCTGCCTGTCAATCCTCCCTTTTTCCCCTTTCTTTTTTCCATTCGTTCCGACTGTTTGTACTTTCCGTGATAAATGGGCTTTCCAATTAAGTTTTATGCATGCATTAAAGTTTAAGACTTCGTAATGCTAAGTAAAAGGGGAGGTCGCCTTATTCGCTCTGCATCATTAGAGTGTGATTGATTAAAGCGGTCGCTTCGCCGGTGGTTTATCATTAAGGCAACCGAAATTGTCGAAACAAATTGACACGCCGAAATACGACGGAATTTAGCGGGAAAAACTTCTCGATTTGCATTCGCCCGATTCTGCACAATTTCCACCGATTATGTATTTCTATTACAGGATGTCCCAATGTTTATTGAACATGAGGCGAAAGTTCAATTGGTGGTCTCTTGGACTAGTCTAAGACTTACAAGGGAAAATGAAAAGTTCTCGCCCTTGACAACGAAAGTCGAAATCACGTCTATTACCCTAGCATAACCATTTCATAAGCCGGCGTCCAAAACTACACAGTATTTTGTTGCTAATTTGTTGCTAATTTGTGCCGCAAGAATCGATTTTGTTGCTCAAATAGTTCTTTCAAAAAAGCGGTTATGCTAGCGTAATATTACGCTAGCGAAACATAGCGATATCTAACAGTGCAATGAAGCTACCGATACAAGACAAACGGTATATTTTGTTGCTATTTTGTTGCTGAGGGATAGCGGAGTTAGATTTATCAAAATATCATCCCTTCGCGGGGGAGTAACTACCCCGACGAGGCAATAATTCCTGGATGGAATACGACGATTTGAAAGACAAATCCACATTCGTTAATTAAAATAAAAATATTGTACATCGTCTAATTATGTACAATAAAGAACAATACAAGAATAATTTTATTAATTATATTCTTTTAGAATAATAATCTTTTACTGTTCTTCGTATTGTTTCGAATCATATTGTTTATTCTTTCTATTCTTCAATAAAAGAATAATATTGCTGAATATTTTACATTCAAGTAGGTACCTAA